CAGCTGCCCGCTGGGCTGGTGGAGAGGAAGTGCTCCCCCAGGTGGCAGCTCACCCCAGTGCTGCTGGGCCCGGCTGGCCAGGAAGGGCCTCATCTGGACGAGGCGGGCAGTGTAGATGTGGGCGTACTGCTGGCTAAAGCTGCGCTCCCCCAGCCGGAAAGGCTGTGAGCAGTTGGTGTAAGTCGCCACGGGCACCCGGGCAAAGGTGGCACTGTTGGCCGATGGCGGGGCCAGCAGAGTGTGGGCCCTCTGGGCAGCCTGCTCAGAAAACATGGTGTGCTCGGCGTGTCCAGACGGCTGTGACAAGGCAGAGGAGGAGGCAGTCACTGTGGGCACACAGACGCCTTCCCGCAACCCCACCTCCCATGGCAGGGCTGTCCTGTCCCCGCCAGGCTGCCCCTGTAGCACCCCCGGGGCACCAGGAAGAGAAAGGTGTAGCCCCAGCTGACCAGGGCCAGGCTGCACCCGGACAGGACGGTGCTGGATGCCAACACCTCGCCCTGTCACCCTCATCCAGAAAGGGAGGAAAGGAAAGCTAGGGCAAGGCCTCCCATCTGGAGCTTTCCAGACCTGTCTCAGGTGTCCACTGCCTGCCCCACACCTCCACCTGAACACAGGGTCTCCAACTCCACCCGCCCCACATGGAAGTCCTCATCTGCCTCCATCCAGCTCCCCGGCACCTGCCCCATCTCAGGGCCTGAGCCAGGTAAGCCTGTTGTAAAATAAGTCTATTATTAGATAATAGATGTAAAACAAATCAGCCAGTCCTTTGCTCAGAACTCTCCAAAGGTTCCCCATTTCACTCGATAACCCCCAATGGCCTCCAAGATCTACTCCACTGGTCCTGCTCACATGTCCCCCACCGGGAGGCCCACAAGGGTGTCTCCCTCACTCCTAAGTTTACTGTCTGCCTCCTCTGACCAGAACAGAAACTCCAAGAGCGAGAGGGACCAGCACCCGACTCCTTTCTTGCAGCAACCACACTCCGAGATGTGCTGTGGCCGTCGAAGCCCCGCAGGCTCCCAGGACCCGTGCAGACCGGCTTGGCCACTTCACAGGCCGGGATCACAGGTTTGCACGTGGTGCATCACACGAGATGTGACACCAAACTGACTTCTCTTTCATTTACCTTTTCC